TTCACGTTACCCTCAGCTGGTTCCACTCCAAGCCTACATTTGAACACAGTTGAAACCAGAGCTTTTTTTCAGCTGGAACTCAACTGGAACTCAGTTCCAGCACCTCTAAGGTGGGCGCCATTACCATTATAATAGGCGTTCATGGTGAGTTCTGGCACCTCTTTTTTATATAGAAAAAGAGCACTGGTTGTAACTGATGCCAATATTCCTTATTAGTGTGAGATGTAATGCATACAATTTTAACACATACCAAAAGGTGGCTGTTCTTTCACAACGAGACATGCCCCTCCTAGTTAAGTTTTGTCTGAGCTATACTACAGCACAAATGGTTCTAGATAAATGTTGTTTCTGACACATATTCCATACGCACGTGTTTCCTGTCTTTGCATTTGATTTTGCTGTACGTGTGGTACATGGAGTACTCATTTGCCGTTATTAACATTTTCTTGACTTTTTAAGGAGGCAGGGGAAACCACAGATACATGATGGTTTCTAATTTATTGAGTTGCTGTCCCTCGAAAGAACCATAAAGAATCCTTGGCCAGCTCAACTGCTTTCGTGCTCTGTCTTGAACTATTTTGGGGGAAAATGTAAATGATTTTGAACTTAATGCCTGCAAATTATACATTTCTAATGTCTGAAGTTGTTAATAACATCAGTATGTGTAAACTTACCAGTAAGGGAGCCATCTTCTCTGGTTCCAAAATGGATCACTTAAGAAGAATATTGTCTCTTGAATTTCCTGTAGTTAAATAATGAAAGATTGAAATTCCAGCTGCATTCCTAAGTGGGTTTCCAGAATTCCTGATAGTCAGACATGCTGTAAAAGTCACTGTCTATTAATGCAGCATAGAGACACCTCTTTGGTGTTGTTCCATGAATAAGAACTGCATTTTTTTCTCTCCTAAAAGTTTCATGTTTACCACAAAACAGTGGCGTAGCGTGGGGGGTGCAGGGGGGGGCCGGCCGCACCGGGCGCAACATCTGGGGTTTAGGGCAAATCCACAGGTTAGGGGGCGCAAATCCATGGGTTAGGGGGAGCAAATCCATGGGTTAGGGGCGCAAATTACTTGCCTTGCCCCGGGTGCTGACAACCCACGCTACGCCACTGCCACAAAAAAAAGGATTCACTGCCCTAGTTTCACACAACACAGTAAGCTCCTCTCCAGCATTTTTATTCCCACTCCTTGGTCGCAACTTGTGGTGAGTAGTGAGCATAAGTTTGGACAACACACTAAGCCAAACTTTGATTTAGTTCGCTGTGCAGTTGGAATATAGAGGATGGGAAGAGCAAAGCAGCTGTGAGCCTGCCTCTGAGGTCCTGCACATTTGCACAATCCTGGAAAGCCATGCATCCCAGCTGCACTATACATATACGATAGTAGAAGACCACTTTAAACAGTCCTGGGCTTTACCCAAAGTATCCTGGAAACTGTAGTTTGTTAAAGGTGCTGAGAGTTGTTAGGAGACCCCTATTTCCCTAACAGAGCTACAATTCTCAGAGTGGTTTAATAGTCAGTTCTTCTACAAACATTGGGAACTTTAGCTCTGCATGTTTATCCCAGTTTGGATGTCTAGGCAGCAATCTTTAGGTAGCACCCTTCAACACCCCCTCCCCCCGTATATGGCCACAACAGCATCTATTTAAGCTAACGAGCAACAGGAACAAGAGACTGGTAGCAAACAAAACCCAAATTCCTCCCAAGGTCTAGATGTGTTAATGAAAATCATTTGGCTGTACTTATGGTTAATTTGAAGATGCAGCCGGTAAGGTGGTGTTCCTTTTGTGCTACATCAAGATGCAAAAATGTAATAGGCTGCAACATAAACTGTCCATCGGTTTATGTTCTTATAAATTCTTTCAACCAACAGGTGGCAGCAAAAACGATGCTGTAGATCCTTTTGGTCTCTGCCACTTTAGCCAAGAGGAAGTGCAAGCAAGATCCCAGCTACAAGTGTGGCTCACAAACCTCTCACCCTAGTAGTGGTTTCAGGCAGGAAGGACTTACAGTACTGGTGACTTCTGCCAAAGGGGATCGCAGGAAGGTTAGCAAACCTCTGTGTTTAGCATTCAGCTCAGCAATGTTTCAATGTACAGACTTAGTTGTGACTGAGTCTGTTTTTCTATACAGGTCTACACTGCCCTTTTATACTCCTTAACCGTTGATCAGTTTCATTAATCAACCTTGAGTTTTAGCGTCATGGGTGTTTTTGTGTGGGATGGCAGATTCCCTGTGTTCCTGGATGGGAATGCCGAGCGCAGTCATGAACACCTGAGGCCCTCCCCAAACTACCCTTTGTTTACTGGTGGTAGTCAGCTCTGTGCTCTGCAGAGCCTCAGGAACAGCAGAGGCTGATGCATTACATCACAAGTGTGCAGAGGTGACTCATTGGGTGGAGCAGGTGGGTCGCTATTACTTGCCGGGAGGGAGAGAGGCAAGGTGGTGGGGAGGTTGGCATGGTGCTAGTGTTGCCATTCCATAGTTCCTGCTTACGAGTTTGCACAGCACTGACCTTCCTGTGGTCTCACCACTTTCCCTTTCTCTCTGGGTAAGCAACAGTGGCCTGCCTGCCAGGAAACTAGCATAGTGGCTCCACCTCCATCTGCCAAGCCGCTTCTGCAAGTTTGCGTACATGGATACTTGCCAAGAAATGACTGCAGACAGTCGTTTTGTGATGGATAGACTGGCTAGGAGTCCACCCTTGAAGGATGGCCATTGGAGTAAAATCAAGCAGTTTACAGTGGGAGTCTTGCAAGCTCTCAGAAAATCTTTGACTCATGTCATTGCAGCAACTTTTTCTAAAGCTACCCAAATATTCACGGAAGGCAATGATGAAATGTAGCAGATATTAGAAAAGTAATTCATCTAAAAAGCATGAAAGATTCCATTAAAATCCCCACTCAGGTTTCAGTATATTAATGCAACCATATGCTGTACATATTTGGAAAGCTGACTCTGAACTGAACATGAGATTAACGTTGTTGCTTGTTGTAAAAAAACAAACAAAAGGCAGGATCAGCTGAACATTTCCGTGATAACATTTCCGTGATACTTCAAGGAGATTTTTAGGCCACGTATTTTAGGAGTGTTGAAGATATGCTATGCAGAAGATATATTCAGAAGCACTCCCCACTGAGTTTCTTTGGGCTCACTCCCAAGTAAGTATCTTGAGGATTACAACCTTGGTATTCTGAGATATGCTAACTTGGAAGTAAGTCTCATTGAGTAAACATCAGTAGAATTGGGCCACAAGTAAACTTTTCTGTGAATGTTTCCTTAGACTCAGTGAGTTATTTAATTTTTGTTGGCATTCATCAAATTTCATGATTTCACATTACAAATAAGACAATGCTGAAAATATTTGTTTCGCAGTGTGATTCAGTTTGTTTCCAGACAGGTCAGTATTTCCCAAAGAATATAGATTGCATTTTCTTCTCTCAACTAAGTTTTCACATTCAACTGAAATCAATCAGCATGCAAGTCAAACCTGTGAAATTTATTTCACTGGTATAAATTCCAGGGAGGGAGCTATTTATACATCTTGGAGATGGTGAAAATAATTGGAGTCTTCTCTGTTTTCATGTTTCCATATCATTCTAGTTTTAATTAAATGTTCAAGGTCGCTTAGGGATTCCAATTACATTCTGTTTCCTTCCATCTTTAATCTCTGACAGCTTTTTGAGAACCATCGAGAGTTGGAAGAGGCCTTGTACACCATCTCTCAGCCCCTTTGCTTGATACAGGAAATGGAGAGAGCAAGAGCATACCCTGCTCCTCTCCCAACAGATGACTTCCCAACCTCAGCTTGGGAACTTTAGTGAGTGTCCAATGAGGACATTGGATTGGAAGTTTAGTTCTTTATAAGCACAGTGCTCTATTACAACAGCTGCTAAGGTGCAAGAATCACATGCACTGTTGTTGTTGTTTACTCGTTTAGTCATGTCCGACTCTTCGTGACCCCATGGGCCAGAGCACGCCAGGCACTCCTGTCTTCCACTGCCTCCCGCAGTTTGGTCAGAAATCACATGCACAGCTCCTGTTAAATAGCTGGACCTGGAGCAAATGTGCATCATGCCTCCATCAGCACATTTAAACACCACCTTCTGATGTAGTGTGTGCAAGCAACCGGTGGCTTCTCCTGTGCAGCAGCAGAGTAGAGGACAGAGGAAATTCTAACAGCCCAGTTCTCTTTGAGGCTATGTCTTCCATCTCTATGCATTCCTGCACTACTTCTCCTGCCTCCTTTTCTCCCATCCCTGACCACCCGAACCCTGCCTCACGGGTGGTGTAGAAACCCAGAAATCACTGGCCCCTTCCCCTGGATCATCCTCCTGTTCCTCTTCGCACCCTTTGGCCCCCTTCCTGTCCCTGACAGTGAGAGAGAGGCAATTTGTTTTGTTGACAAACAGCTCTCATAATTGAGAAGTTTCTCATAATGTACAGCTGAAATCCACCCTCCTATTCCTTGAGGAGTCATCTGGAGAGTTGGAGTGTGCTGTCACCTCTGTGCAGACGACACTCAGTTCGATCTCTCCTTTCCATCTTCATCAGGAGATGTTGTGAAAGTGCTGGAACAGTGTCTGGAGTCTTTGTCCTCTTCTATATGAAGGCCCTTCAGGTATTCTTCCTCAGCCTTCTCTTCACCATGCTAAACATACCCAGGATCTTCAGACTTCTCTCATATGACTTATTTCCCATACCACCAACCAACTTCATTGGACAGGATTCAGCTAACTTAGTCCTGCTATCAGAAGCCCATGCAAGCTCTTCTGTTAGTTCAATGGTACTTTTGCCCCCTCTTCTCCTCCCACACCTTGCCCTTCCCCAAATTGTCTCAGGGAATCTGAGAACCTCTAGATCAGGTCATTATCATCATCATACTGTTGATTCATCCCTCAGCTAGTGATTAACTGCAATCCTCAGATCATTTTCACATGCAGTACTGCCAAGTCAGGTATTCTTCCATTATATTACTTTACTGTAATACAATGTACTGTAGAACATCTGTCTTGTATGCAGAAGGCCCTAGGTTCAGTCCCTGGCATCTCCAGGTAGGGCTAGAAGAGACTCCTGACTGATGCCATAGAGTGCCACTGCCAGTCAGTAGAGGGAAATTCTAAGCTAGATGGACCATTGGTCTGACTCAGTATGTGGCTGCTTTTATAATGGCTGTCAGCCTGGCTTATTCTGTGGCTCCCAGTAGGATTTCTACACCCTTTCTGCCTTTGACATTTTTAAAAAAATCCCCTGATTTATTTTTGAGATGCATCATTCTTGCTTATGAGACGTAACTGGCTTGTTGGTTGTATTTCTATCACATAAAGCGTGTATATTACGGATGGACTGTCTGGCTGAGGATATTTTTATTTCAGGATTTATTTTATCTGAACACATTGCTAGTGTAGTTGCTCTTTTCTCAAGAGGACTGGATTCTAGTGGGGTGTACCTCAAACGATGAGGCAAATTGGGGTGATTCAGGGAAAGGTCTCACATTTCTGAGTAGGATTGTGCCATTGACAACAACAACAACAACAACAACAACAACAACAACTATATTATTTATACCCCATCCATCTGGCTGGGTTGCCAGACATTTCAAGACATCTCAAGGTAAATCAGGGACTACCTAAGCTTTTGGGTGGGTCTGTGGCTTCAGCTGTCTGAAGAATGCATGGCCATATTGTTTCTGAGAAACAAAACCAAGCTGGGGTAACGGTCCATGCTGCTAGAGTTACATTTCCCCACCCCAGACTTTCAGGGATATTTTTTTTCACCACTCGCTTCTCCGGTGGAAATAAATATGGAATTATATCTCTTCCAGGGATAAGATGCTGTATTTCCCAAAATCCATGAGAGGCAGAAGACCACCCACCACCACCACCAAACCTTGGAGTAACAGGGTCCCAGCTGGGTGGTGACATTTCCCCCATCTCAGTCTTTCCATGTTCTTTCCCCACCACCAATACTACCCCACCTGTCCCAAATTCTGTTGTATCCACACCAAAATGTTCTTTGCTGCTGGGAGAACCACTGCAACTATCATTCTGAATTTGACAGCCTCAGAAGGGATGGCCATGCCTGCAAACTGCACCAATTTGGATAGAAAACAAAAAAGTTACAGATTTTCCTTTGTTTAAAGATTTTTTTAAAAAACGTGTCCTGCATGAAAATCTCCAGATATACTCAGCCTGCACTGGGCAGGCTTAATTCATTTGTGGAGGAGGGAGGCTCATGTACCTGTAAATTTCATCCACTTTGGCCAAAAAGGGAGAAAGCTATGCATATTTTTAAGATTCTCTATTATAGCAAATGGGGGACACAGAACTTCATTTTAATTCGGCTCAGAAGCTGAATCACAGATCAAAATGGAGACAGCATGGACACCCACACCCACACAAGAAATCTTGGGACCTGTGAACACTCCTAGCGAACACTGCCTTCCGTAAGATCTGGTGAATAAGTCGATATACAACTGGTTGAGGATATGGAACTGATTGAGGATATGGCTATATTAGGAATTCCTGGACCTTCTCACAAAACAAGTGAAGGGATTTCACTCTGCTACAGCCTCTTGCTATGTATGTCCCTGTCACCATTACTATACCCAGTAGCATACAGTGCCTTCCCTCTGGCTGAGATGCTGCTGCATACCAGGATGGAGAAAAGAAGAAGTGAACTAGTGGTGTGGTCAGCATGGTGCAAATGCACCAGTGGAACCAATCTAGTGCTCTTGCCAGAACATCTGCTGTACCCCAGCCTTGCTGCTTCCTCACTCCTCCCCCTCTCTGTCCTAGTTTGCAGCAGTAACTCAGCCAGAGGGAGGTCAGATGAACACAGCTCCACCACAACATCTGTTACGGACTATATCTGTATTACTGTCACAGTTGAATTAGAAATGGCAAGAATCAGCTTCTGGCTTAAATCCTAGGACCTCCACAGCCCAACTGTCAACCATAGGTCCTCTTTACAGCCCTAGAGCAAACTCCTATTGTGTAGCATGAACTAGTCTTACTTAAGTGCTGGCAAAGATACCTGTCCTTCTTTGTGGTTCTTACTCCTGGTTGCATTGCTGTTCTACTCATGTTTGTCCTTTGTGCCCTGTTGCACCTAAGTGGTTTAATCTCTCTGAAAATGTTTCAATGAACATGAAATCTAAATTATATGTGCTGTCTTAACTGGGGTCATCCTGCGCATGAGATGTAAAGCTTTCCATCAAAGCCTTCCTAACTTCTGTGTCTAATCAATTCTTTCCACTGTGACCTTGATGAATGCATCATTCAGTGCAAAATCAAAAGAAGGAATATGTCTCATAACTCTACCTATAAAATGAAAGTGTTTTAAGCTTCTCTACCTTGGCAGGAAACTCTGGAAATAGCACCATGTAAACCTTTCCTTTTGGACAAAATAACTTCTACTAAATCTTTTAAGATGTTTGGTTTCCTGTAGTGAACTTAAAAGAGGTAAGTTCTTTGGTGTGTGCTATACTGACATCTGTTTCCTCTCATAGATATTAATGAATGTATAACAGACGCTCATACCTGCAAGAGAGGGGAGCACTGTGTTAACACAATTGGATCCTTTACATGTCTTCAGCAACTCAACTGTGAATCAGGTTATGAGCTGAAGGATGGTGAATGTGTTGGTGAGTTTACTTATTTTAGTATGAGTGGTGATTTGTGTGCTGGGGGTAGTATATTTTTAATTTTCAAAATAAATATAAGCACAACACACTATAACAACAACCTAAATGCAATGAGATGGGTCTTCCAAAAGAATCTTGGGTTGCAGTTAATACTTTAGAAAATGAGAGAGCCTCCTAGTAGAAGCAGATGTACCTAGTACATGAATCCGAGTGCAACTCAAATCTTAAATATGCTACACTGGGGAAGGATTGGATGTGGCGGAGATCTCCTGCCACCCAGCCCAGAACAGGTGCCTATAAAGTGGTGCTAGCACCATTCCATCAGGTTACAAGGTCTCTTCTACCTGCTGAAAGTGCAGGGTGTTCCATGGGCAGGGATGGACTGAGCTAGCATGGGATCCACTGCTGCTGCTGCTGCTTTGGTGATCACTCATAGCCAAGTAAGATTGTCTTCCATAAACACGGTTTTAACAGTGAGTCTGTAAGTGACTGTGGAGGCCAATTCTGGATCCACGCATCCTTCCACAGTGGGAACATAGGTTTCCAGGCAGGAGTTGATCGTGGTGATGGTTTGCCAAGCATGCCTTCCTCTTAGCGCATTTCACCCTTTCATCCTGAGTTCGGGCATCTTCAAAACCCATGACACCTTTGGTAAAGGCTGTTCTCCAATTGGAGCGCTTGCAGGCCAGTGTTTCCCAGTTGCCTGTGTTAATACCACATTAGGCTCATTGCTGTCATTTGGTGTCATTGGGTCTAATCCAGTCCCGCTTGCTGCACCAGCTCTGATTGCCCTGCCAATGCCTAGAAAAGGTGTTCATATGGAAGAAATCCAAGCACCAGGCAGTAATTTACTTCCCTGATTTACTTACATTCTGCTCAGGGCTGGAGCAGGACCATCAGTTGAACACGGGTTCACTGTGGGTCCAGCAGCTACTATCTCTCTTCACTCCACACGTTTATTGGATACATGAAGGGGAGCGTGATAACAATTGTCAAGTAAACTCTCTAACTTTGAATTGCTTACAGACACTCCAGTTTATGTTAGCTGGTTTCAAATATTTGTCATCATTACCATTTACAGATGCTTATGAATTTAACAGTGTTAGGGGTGGGGTGAAGCCCCTGATTTTAGCAAACTGATACATAAAATTGTTGCCATAAAATTGAATGGGAGACAATCTAGGAACACTGAGTTGCATTCAACTAAGCCCTACTCAGAGTAGACCCATTGAAATGAATGAATCTTAAGTTAATCGTGTCCATTAACTTCAATGGATCTACTCTGAGTAGGACTAGCATGGAAGACAACCCCCTGTGCATGCTACCTTGAGCAGGAAATTGATGTGATGAATAAATTAATTTTAATTACGAACTTGGCTGTGAAATTTTCTTTCATTTGGTAGGCGGCTGGACCTGCTGCATGATGGGAAATGTCTTGCAGTGTGACCTGCTGAGGAACATCTCTCCACACATAGTCTATGCAGCATCTTATGCCAAATTTAATATGCTAGTTCATTTGAAAGCTAATGTATTAAAAATTACAAAGCAGGTGCCTAAGTGGCCCTCAGATGGATGACCGGCCTCTAGGCCTATAATTCAAGTGCCCCTATGATAAGTAATGCCTGATTACTTGCTGCCATTTCCATGCGTTTGCATGTGGTGTAGATGCATCTTTATTATTTTTAAGATGCTTCATCCTGTTTTCTTGGCAGAATGACTAGGCAATGTGGGCAACATTTGAAAGAGTGTAACATATGAGTCTGATACTTAACAGCAGGAGACATCTGTCTTTGGATTTCTTCATCCATGAATTTTGCTACAGATTGGAATTGTTGGCAGCCCGAGTTGGTTTTCTTTCCGTAAATATTCTTCCGATGGCTTATCTGACATGAAATGAAGATGCATGTTGTGTTTTAGAATATTTAATAAGAAAAGGTTAGCCACCATATAGCCTGTGTGAATTTTGCTCTGCCGTTACACATCCGTAATACACAGAGTAATACATTCTCCGGTTAAGTTGGATTAGTTAATAAAGGAATGCCATAAATGATCTTAGATTAAATTGTGATGCTGTACATTATTGCAGCTTCACATTGTAGAGTCACCCTCTAAAAACTTCTTTTGAGCTAATCTACATTAACGAACAAATGGAAGACATCAGAGAAGCCAAGACAACAAAATTAGGAAAGCTATCATTAGATTAATCCACTTTTACTTTTTAATTTCCTTTAAGACATTGATGAATGTGAACGAGGAACTCACAGCTGCAAGATAAACTTTGTATGTCAAAATACAAAAGGATCATTCTATTGTGAATCAAAGCAGCGGTGCATGGATGGATTTTTACAAGATCCAGAGAGTAATTGTGTTGGTGAGTTCAACTCGAACAATATAGTTGTAGATGAATGAGCTCCACATACTCTTATATTACCCATAATTGTTCAAGTTTAATGGTCTTTCAAATTTTACTGTTCTCCCCCTAAAACCTATCTCACTATTTTAATTTTTTTTATTAAATATATAAACGTTGGCTTTATAGAATTCCAGCAACCTAGAATTTCTTGAATAATAAATCAAAACCAAATGAATAGAAAAGAAATGACAGCTGGAAGATGGCTCCCTGATTAATTTACTAGCTGAAAGCTTAATGTATATTCTCGTCCACAGATATTAATGAATGTACATCACTTACGGAGCCATGTAAGGCTGGTTTCAACTGCATCAATACTGTTGGGTCTTATACTTGTCAGAGGAACCTCTTAATATGTAGCAGAGGGTATCATTCGAGTGAAGATGGAGCCAGATGTGTCGGTAAGACAGACTAAGTAACCTGGCTAATTTTGCTGGATATCCCCTATCCTTAAATGCCAATAATTACATTCAAATAGGGGTTTGTTTGTTTTTTGACAGTTTTCTATACATACACACATCCCAGATTCCCATAACACATAGAAGCATTTGTTGCAAACAGTGTTTAAAGCTGGTGATGACTTATTTAAACACTTTTTAAAGCTTAAACCATTTCCCCTCTCCTCAAATCGCAGAGGTGGTGCAGGCCCTCTCCTGGCTACTTCCCCCATGAGGCCTTGTTCTGAGGGAGAACCTCCTTCGCCTTTCCTCAGAACAAGGCAAGTGGAAGTAGCAGTGGAGACGGTAGCCATGCTGGGTGGTAGTTGTTGGTGCAGCAGCAGCAAGAGGTCTGAACAATAAGGAAGCAAAGGCCCTTGGGGGGAGGGTGTCAGTTTTCTGTACTCACTGCCTGCAGCAGTTGTCTCATTCTGCCTCATGTGCAAGCCATCCCTGCACATTGCTCTTGGAGACATTTCCACCTCCACTGCCAAGCACACCACTCAATCCTGTCAATCCAGACCATTGCTCAGAGGTGTCTGCAATTTCCTGCCTCTGCCCAACTGCAATTCATTTAGAAATTTGGCAAGTACAGAGGTCAGCCTTGTGGCACACTCACTGAAAGCACTGTGCCTCTCTCTAGAGACAGGTAAGTGATGCACCTCTGCTTAGAGTCTAAATGTTCTACTGTGTGCTCTTTTTTTAAAAGGGAGGAGCATAAACAACAGAACCAGGAGATTTTGTGGTTTGACTTTTCTCTCCTTTTTTCGTAAGAGGCATCTTTCTGGATAATTAGCTTTCAGATTGGATTAACATATGGTAATATAAATAGATCATCTGGACAAGCCTCCGCAGCAAAACTGAGTCTGTGTGGTCGCTTTCTTTTGTTTAGAAAATTCATCTTCTCAGTGATGTTCGTTCTCTCTAATTCAGTAGATTGGTTAGCAGCACCTTTATCCTATATTTAATTGAAAAATACTGTAGCTATCGTGAAATATGGTGCACTTCTGACTGAATAATGTTCTGGACATAATTAAAGCTGAATGCACTGGAACACACAATTTCACAGAAGCTAATCAAAGGGCTGGACCAATGAATTAATGGCAACTAAAGTTGCTAATTTGCAGATTTAAATCTATATTAAAATTAACTTTTCATGCTTGCCGTGATACAAAGACAGAACCAAAGGGACAGTGCTTTAATGAAAAATATCCATCCTTTCTAATATTGATTCATATATTTATTTAAAACACGACTGATTAGATAATGGATAAAACAGGAAATATTTCTAACTGTACCCAAGTTTCCCTATGGATTTCTACACTAGAGATATTTTATTTATATCATTTATTATTTGGAACAGTTTCTAGTCATGCTTCAATGCAAAATTAGATGAAGCCTTTTAGTGAACTTTGCACAATGACTGCTCCCCGCTTAAAACGGGGGGCGCCCTTTGCGTGGACGTGTGCAGCCCCTAGATCCGGAGCGGCTCCAACAGCATAGGCTTGGCCTTGCCTTCCCTCAGGTGGGATACCTGGAGGTCTCCGCCTACCTCAGTCATTTGCCCAATCCCACCTGGGGGAAGCGTTGCCAAGGAGACCAGGCCAGGTAGGGGAGGGATTACCTGCCCACACAATAGAGGGAGGATCTTGTGGCAAGAATCAGAGCCTACAAGGTTAAGAGGCTCTGTGTGACGCCTCCCATTCTGAGGCGTGGTTTACTGAGGGAATGATTCCTGTGTCTCAGTTCTGTTTCGGTTTGCTCCGGAGAGGAAGCAAGATGAGTGCTCGGTCGCCAGGAAAGATTTAAGAGTTGTTTTTCTACACGAATAAAGGCTGTTAGAAGATAAGAAAGACACCGTGCGTGTAGCCTGATTTATCACAAACACAGAGCAACAGTAAAAGCTGCGTATACTCTGCTTGAAGTAGCTGGACCGGAGAGGTGAACAGAAAGCGCTGAGGGTGGAAGCGTGTGGGCTCGAGACGGAAGCTACAAAGGCTACAAAGGCTGTGGCCACAACATTCCAAACATTCCAGAGATCTTACCTGGGAATCCTCAATTGTTCGGCCCGATGGCGTGCACCTATCGGACCTTGGTAACGAGCGTTGGCTGAGCGACATCAGCCATGGCCTGATTGACTGGTTGGAGGATGGCAAAGGCGCTTTTCAGATGTAGGTAGTCTTGGCGGCGAGACCGCAATCTTTGCGGTCTCGGGTGGCGGTATCAGGTCTTGGGCGGAATCCTTTAGTCCATCTTCCTCTTTGCGGTGGCGATACCAGGGTTCCCCGTTAAAGGGGTTTCTGAAGGGAGGCTTTGGCCGTGCGCTGAAAGATCTTCATTGCTCTCCCCTGCGGCGGCGGCGTAACGGGGGCGGCTATCTCTGCTTGAACATATGTTCTCCAGAGCCGGCCCATCCCCCCCCCACACACACTGGATAACCCTGATGCTCCCTAGGTCCCCGGCTGGGGACTGGGGAGGGAGAACGCCCAATGCCTGAGCCAAGGTCTACCCACATTTGAAATTTAATAAAGTTGTGGCCAATTTAATCCCATAGCACGTTGTCTCGAGTCATTATTCCACATGACTGGGGGACCGCGGGGGATCTGGGGACTCCGCCTGTCCACGCAATATACATATAAGTATTGTGGCTATTGTGCCTAAAATTTGTCCTGGATTTTTTAAAACCATTCTACATCAGAATTTTTTTCGGCTGGCCTGCTGGTTCTTGTTGAACTTGCCTACTTTTGATGTTGCCAAGGGGTGTTTCTGGGCATCCTTTCATTCATTCTCCAAATAATCTCTTCAACGGTCTGTGATGTCCAGCCTTTGTGGATGCAACACCTCCTGAAAACCCCATGACATCTTAGGTAGTTCCTATTGTGTGCCTAACAGCAGAGGCGCCATCTCCCAAAGTACATTGCAGGGCCTGTATTCAGTCTTAACAATGGGGGGCACGCGCTCAAAACCTCCTCTGGTGTCTGCATCTATCTCATGTGTTTTGAACCTGCTACCCTGGCTTTCTGCACTTCAATTTAAACCCAGGGAAGGACATCATGAGCTGGGGCTTTTTCAGATCAGGAAGTTTCATGCAGCCTGGGAGGCTAAGCCTAAACTTATGCCTAGCACAACAGTGATTGGACAAGGAGCTATTTTAGCTGAGGAAAAAGGAAAGGGGAAAGATGGTAAGTTGTCCAGAAGCATGTGATATTAGTTATCACTGTATAAATGGTCCAAAAAGATGTCTGTGTAGCATCCAAGTTAAGGGGGTGTGGAAACCAGAAAACAATCTTAAAAGAAGGAAAGCAGTCTGGCAGACCTCTGGGTACAGAAGGCCTCACAGTGTGAGGCCTTACAGTCAACATTTATATACAAATATCATTCACCAGAGATTCCAACTAAAATGTGATGGTCTTGGTTGCTTCTTAATTCTGAGTGTTAAGTACATGACTGATGTCTATCACTGAGGGTTGTTATTTGATGCTCTGTATAATTTCCATATACAGTCGTACCTCCTTTTGCGTCCGGGATCCATTCCGGAGCCCCGGACACTCGACGAAAGGGACGCTCGACAAAGCGCTGCTCTGTGCATGCACGAAGCAACGCTTCTGCGTGTACGTGAGTGGCAAACCCAGAAGTAACTCGTTCTGGTTCTTCCGGGTTTGCTCCGGACGTTGGACGAAATGGACCCTAAACGGGGGCGGACTCAAAACGAGGTACCACTGTAACCAACTATATTTGTTTGCAGGTAAATCCCTTAGTCCACTTTATAGGAAAGCTATGCATGTGTCATTCCGCCATCACTCCCTCATCTTACAGAGTTGGTAGCTGGGTGGGACTCCAGCACTTTGTAGATTCCATACATCATGGGAAATGTGTGAGTATAGGAAATTTACGGTGGATTGTATCAAAAGGCTACAACCCTCTGTGCGATCAAATCCTCAGACTGTGTGTTGTTGTTTTTTAATAGGTGAGAAGGGGAGAAAACAGATATCAACTGTGATTAAGTCAAACTATTATTGTTTGCCTAACTCGTCCATTCTCAGAAAATCCTGTTTTAATGAATCAAAGCATCACAAACCAGACAGGAGAATGTCAGATAAATGTAGATGTTATTACAATGTCAAGGGCACATTTCTTTTTATTTTGATAATCTTTTTGTTTGGAACCAACCACAGAGGGCATTCTAAGACCTTGCCAGCTGCACCTCCATTTTCATTTTGAAACACTGGCCTCTGGAAGCGTAGACCTGCATGAAGCCAGCTTTGGGAGACAGGGATTGCTGATCACTAATCACTTTTCCTGCAGTGTCAGGAAAAAGTTAACCGTGCTTCTGCTCCAGGTTGACTCTCATGATGCAAGCCTCTTCATTCAGTACAGCTGCCTGCAAACTGTGATATTTGGAGAATGACCATCAGCTTGGCCCTCTGCGGTGAGAGTAATTGCTACCTTTTGCTTCTGTAGATGTTGATGAATGTCAAACCGGCGTACACCGCTGTGGCGAGGGACAGATTTGTCACAATCTACCTGGAGCTTACCGCTGTGATTGCAAGACGGGATATCAGTATGATTCATTCAGCAGGACCTGCATTGGTATGTGTGGCACAGGAGGAGATGATATTGCTGATTGATGAAACATGGACCTCAGGCCAGTGCGCAGTGCTGCCGTTTCCAGCACAATTATTAATTCCATAGCACTAGAACTCAAACAAGATAATAGAATTGCTTCTGAAACCACCTTCACTCGCAGTGAACTGCTTGTCTCTTAATCAGAAGCACTAGTGAGAATATGTTCTAATTTTATTTCAAGTATAAGCAATTGATTGGATAAGAACTGAATTAGGAGGATTCCATAGGTGAAAAACCTTTCTGCTGTAAATATATCACAAATTGTGGACCAGAGAGTAGTTCAGTTTCTGACACAAGTATGGTTGGAGGAGAAATTCTATTCAATTCCCATTTAAAGGGAAATCTACTCAAGTCACACTTTCTGAAACAGCATATGAACTGAAATACGGCCATCCTTTGAAACTGGAACTTCTCTGAATTTTGCAATGCAGTTCTCCAGCCAAGTGAGGAGTACAAAAATGAATATACTGGGGTTAAGTGTGCACATAAATAGCATACAAAAATACAATATATCATGTATGTATTCTGGACCCTCCTCATGTCAAATTCTATCCAATTTAATTTTCATTGGGAGAAAAATGTTTGGCAGCTGGATATGAAAATGTGTGCATGCTAGTTGGGGGACAGACGGACAGTGGATACTCCAAAGCTTGTGCACAGTATTTTGAAAGTGCAAATGTGCAATATCTTCTGATATTGCAAGAGTTCGTAACCATCAATCCCAAGAACTGTAGCTCTGTTACATCATATGTTAATACAAAGTTAGGAAAATAAAAAATGAAATCAAAGCAATTAATCAATGCAGTCCTCAACATTTTTCCTGTTCTCTCTCTCTCTCTCGATTTATATTTTTGTTTACTGTGCATTTGTGGCAGACATAAATGAATGCTGGAATTATCCTGGCCGACTCTGTCAACACTCATGTGAAAATACTCCTGGATCCTATCATTGTTCCTGTTCTACTGGCTTTCGCTTGGCATATGATGGGAAGCATTGTGAAGGTATTGGGCTAAACATCTATTTGTTAAATCTTCATTAATTTGAATTTTAAAATATCAAAACACAAGAACATTTAATACAGACACAAAGTGAGAAAATGAAGAAATAAAGAAAAAAGGGGAAAAAAGAGAAGGGGAAAAGTAATACTATAAGTTTCATATATGTAAATGCCATATCATATTTACAAACTCACAAAAAAGAACGAAAACATTACTATGAATTAGCTAAAAAAGGCGTCCAAATATTTTCATTTACTATATCTATTCTTTCCTTTATAATGTACAGTCTCAAATGAACTTAATTATTTTTGTACTTCCAAACATAATATCATTTCCACCTTTTATTTACATGAATCACTCTAGTTCTGTCAGGAGATTCTTATTCTTACAATAATTTTTTAGATATTCTTTAAATATTCTCCATTTTTATATACATTCTGTTTTGATTGATCTCTTACTCTCCCTGTCATCTTTGCTAGCTGTAGATATTCTATCATTAGGGCTTGCCACTCTGCTATTGTAGGTATTGCTTCATTTTTCCAATTTCTTGCCACTAATATTCTGGCTGCTGTCGTTGCATACATGAACAATGTTTTTATATATTTTTTCCTATTTCTATTGGCAATATGCCTAGAAGGAGGGTTTCTGGTCTTTTTTTAAAATTAAATTTAAATATCTTTTTAAGTTCATCATAAATATTGTTCCAGAAGTCTCGGATAACTATGCAGTTCCACCACATATGCAAATAAGACCCTATCTCTTTTTTACATCTCCAGCAGATAGGTGATCTATTTTTGTACATTTTTGCCAATCTTGCTGGAGTAAGGTGCTATCCCTCCATAGTCTCTTCCATTGTTCCATTTAAATTTTATACCCAAGGTCTTGCACCCATCTCACCATTACTGACTTAACTTGCTTTTCTTTCACTTCCCATTCTAATAGGAGATCATACATTCGTGAGATATATTTTCATTTTTTTTAATTAGATCTCTTTCAAATATAGATGTTTCTTTTGCAATACCTTCTTTCCTATCCAAATTTAGTCTTTGATTTATCTGAAAATATAGGAGCCAGCTTGTCATATACTTTTTAATTTCCTCATATTTTTTCAGTTGTCTTGTCTTGGTTTTCCTCTAGTAATATTTTATATGTGGCCCATTCACCTTCCATTTTCTTTTTTTTTAACAGCCAAGGCTTCTGTGGGTGAGGTCCACAGGGCTATTTTTTGCTCTAAAATTCCCTTAAAATTATCCCAGATCTTATATAATGACTTTCTAATTATATTATTTAGAAAACCCCTAACACTAACCAACACAGATGTGTTAGATCTAGAGGGCCACGATAACCGATATGGGTGGCACGGATACCTGATATATGATAAGGTGAGGATTCACAGGGGTATTTGGCTAAACATCTAAATCTAAACATTTCTAGGTTTTGTATGTCCTGAGGCCACAAAAAATCCAGAGATTCACATGTGCTTGACTGAGATTAATAAATTATTTTTATCTGTGTTGGTGAGCAGATGGTTGCATGAACAAATACTGATGACACCAAACTTGATATTGAATGGGGAGGTTAGGCAGTTGGTTGTGTAAAAACCTATGAAGGCAATGCAAATGTATATCTCAACTAGAGCCTCAACTAGAGCCAGGGCTTTCTCGGCTGCGGCTCCAATCTGGTGGAACGCTCTGTCACAAGAGACTAGGGCCCTGCGGGACTTGACATCTTTCCGCAGGGCCTGCAAGACAAGAGCTGTTCCACCAAGCCTTTGGTCAGGGTGCAGCCTGACTCCCTCCTCTGGCAATCTGCACAGAATTTTGCTTAACGGTTGCCATCAATTTGATTTGAATTAATTTTTAGAATGAGATGTTTTTAGAATGTTGGATTATTTGATTGTTGTTAGCCGCCCTGAGCCCGGCTTCGGCTGGGGAGGGTGGGATATAAATAAAATTTATTATTATTTATTATTATTATCTGAAAGTGCATCCCATTCAAAGCAATACTCTATATCCTCCCGTGGATATACATTCAGATATGCAACCAAATCTAGGTTTTATTTGTGCTGCTGATCAAACAAGTGATTTTGTTGCATTATGTATGCTAGATACATAATGAAACGACTGTTATAAGAATTACTTCCACTGTTTTATACACAGTCAGCTCAATATGACTTTACTTTCCCTTGTTTTGTTAATTATTAAACTTTTCTTCATCAAGCATTTCCATGTGCTCATTGTTACGTGTCATTGTGAATGAAATATGTAAAAAAAGAGAATCCAACCAGCTCAATCAACAAAAATTGTAGCTGATGAATCAAATATATCATCATGCTTCAAGACACAAGACGTTTCTGCAACAGTCAATACATTTTCAATGACTAAAATGGGCCTTTTCTTTAACCTTTCTGCTCTTTGTTTGATAACAGACAATGACTGACATGGCAGTGGCTGGACTGATTAAATGTTATTTCTATACTTCTTATACAGATATCAATGAATGTGACAACAATCCATGCAGTCAAGAATGTGCTAATATATATGGTTCCTATCAGTGTTACTGCAGGCAAGGCTATCAATTAGCAGAAGACGGCCATTCTTGCAAAGGTATGTTTTGACCTTTCCATTGGGATTACTATTGCACGTTCCTACTGGAGAGCAACTTTGTTGTCCTCACATGTCTATACATTCTTCTTTTTCCTCAGATATTGATGAATGTGCACAGAGTGCAGGTATTCTGTGCACTTTCCGCTGCATGAATGTGCCTGGAAGCTATCAGTGTGCTTGTCCCGATCAAGGATATACCATGGCAACAAATGGAAGGACTTGTAGAGGTAAGAAGGAGATGGAAGTGCTTCAGATTCTACCTGCTCAGCCATCAGGTCAAACAATCTTATCGCACTGTTCGCTGTTATTACGATTGCAATAAAAATCACAGTTAGTCCAGTTATTATTGAGGTTGCACAAGGGGGGAAGGAAAGATAGCATTTGAAGGGCAGGCTCTATTTCTCTTATGTGGTTTGTTGGGGCAAAAATACAGAAGGCTCTTTTGCTTGTTTTTCAAGTGCAAGCAGGGCTCTCATCACAATACTCCACCAGGTGGAGAGAGTTTGGCAGGGGGGAGAGATCATTTTTGACACCTTCATAGTGGGATAGGATAGCTGCCCTGTTCGCTGCCATGCCCAGCACCACTCCCACTCCTCCTGGGCCACCACACAACCCTCCTCACCAAGCTCCCAGAGCCATTTCAGAGTTGGTGTCCCTTTCGAATATGAGCCAAGCTTGGCTTCCACCCATGATGACTGCCGACGATGTTTAATTATCCAAACTGCAGTGCCCCAGCCTATAGAACTATGAAATCTATAGACTTAGTAGATCTACAGTTCTGGTATTTATAAATGAATAGAATGAGCAGCTAGTTTATTTTTTGTTTCACAGTCATCTTGAATTACAGGAATGTATACAGGTGATAAGAAAATAGCAGTGGTAACCAAGTCCTAATGGTTGCATAGACACATACCACTAGCATTATTCTCATGTCCCAGGAGTGATATCATAAGCCATGTAAATAATACTCTGCTGTCTCTGAAACGAAACACCAGCATTTTTGTTTGATTTTCCTAATACAATTTGATAACAGTGGTAGCATATCAGTGCTTCTGAGATTAAAGCATCAAAACTGGTACAAGTCGAAAGCAGCCTAGCTGAGGATCCTTGGATGGATTACTGGCCCAGTCACCTGGATGATATCTTAACCCCAAATTATCCTACTTTTGAAGGCAGAGTAAGATCATCATCATTCTGCCTTTTGAAGGCCATGCATGGGCATAAAAACCAAGCAGGACACCCAATGGTCATGAACCTGAGTCACGTAGCTGCTTCCCAGATTTGGGGGAGATACTGGCTACATGATTTATCAACGTTGGATTTTCAGCACAGGAAGCCTATTTAAACAATAAGCTCCAAAGATCTTAGACATGAGATGGGTGAGCTCACTTCCACACCATGGGGAGAATGTAGGAAAAAAATATTTTTGTATCGGGGACATATTCGCCTATGAGTCATTCCACCCCCTTCCTTCCATTTCATTCATGGCCTTTTTATAGTTGAGTGAATTCAAGCTGATCTGTTTGAACTGGCATGCTGGAGTTTTATGTTATGGATCATTGTTTTTAAAGCTATGTGGTAAAGCTTCAGACAGCCAAGATGGAGAAGTAAATCTTTTTGCAACATCGGGTTCCATATGGAAACAATTTAACCTTTTCACCTAGTTTTAAGAAACAGTGAGGAGGGGGCTTAATTTACTTTAATTTTCTTTGACTTCCTATTAAATTTTTTGCCCTTTGGGCTTTTAAACCAAGCCACGCTCCACGCAAGAGCAATTTTTGACCCTCCGGGAAGGCTATGGTATTTCTTTAAGAGCCTGCCTCCTGCATGACAACGGGCAAATTTCACCACAGGATTTTGCCACATGGTTTGTCTGTTAACATTTATTTTATTTGCAAACCTCTGAATGCTGTCTAGACATCTGAGAGTTTTGTGTGTGGCTACACACAGTCCTCAGCCAGTTTCCCCCCTCCCTTCTTGAACTGGATCCATCGCATCTGGTATCCCATATCTTCGGAACCACAATTGAACATTTTGTCATCTTATTGTTCAAAAAACCGTTATTGTGCTCAGTAACAAAAGGAGTCTTTCATTCTGATCTTAAGCACATTTTGTGGAAATAAACTTCTCTGAATGCAGGGGAAATACAGGAAGTCTGCAATCTTTTTTTTAAGCTTAATGCAACTATAAGTGCAGAAGAAGGTTCTGTTGCTGGTTTTGTTTTTTTAGTAACGTGTCCTAATAAGATGATAATCATGTCCAAATCTGCATATGTTAATTTATGCTTTTATCTTCCTACTTGTATGAAAAAATACTGATTATTGGTTCTCCCTTTCCATTGTTATTGCAGAGTACACAGGTGTACAGGCCAAATATCAACTTAAATATAAGTATCCCAGTAGATGCCTACTGAGTGATAGACAAATACTGTCACACACCATTTGCATAGCCTTGCTAAGGGCCAACCAATGAGAGAGGGCTATTGGCTTCATGCTGTGCTTGTGAGCTCCCTGGGGTATTCCAGCTGGCCACTGCTGGAATCAGGTTGCTAGACTTTAGATGAACCCAAGCTTGTGTGATCCAACTGGGCTTTTCTCATATTCCTATTGCAAAACATACAAAAGTGTAGCACCCCGAGTGTCACCTTGGAGGCTATTTGTGTGCAGAAGTGGAGAGGTTGGCATCGATTCCCCACCACATAACTGTTGTACTGTCCATAACTGTTCTACTGTTGTGTGGAAGAAGCAAAGCTTTGAGTCTAAGGCTGAGGTCCTGTGCATGCTCACTTGGTCTTAAGCCTTACTGATCTCAGGAGGTCTTACCACCATAAACATGCACAGCATTAAGATGCCTGAGTCAGCACTCTAAAGCTGCAGTTGTGTGCTCAATTACTTGGGATCAAGCCTGTTTAGATCACTTAGACTTCTCTGTAAGCATGACAGGTTTCCCTACTAGCGGTTAGTATTTTCCAAGCAGATGTACTTGAACTTTAAAAATGGTTACATCAAAGCAAATTTAATGCACTTTCTGCTGCTCTTAGCATAAAGTAGCACAGCAATAGTTCCTATACCTACATGTGAGTGATATTTCTTGCATAGTTTTGGAATAAAGCTGTATCTTGTGATTTGGAATAAGGCTGCAACTACACTGTTTTGTGAATATGTTACGTGATCGTTCTTATGTGTTTCATTCCCAGATATTGATGAATGTGCAATGGGAACCCACAATTGTTCCTCAACCGAATCTTGCTACAATGTTCAGGGCAGCTTCCGGTGTCTTTTGTTTGAGTGCCCAGCGAACTACAGAAAAGTGTCTGAAATGTAAGTCCAATAAGAAAGCCACTAAATCAGATGATATTTATAAAGTTCTCCTCAGTAGCTATATCTTAGAGAGTTTGTTGAACCCCTACTGTCCCTGGCCAAAAGCATAAAACAGATGCAAAAAGATATGAATGAGAGAGTTTGGGGTATACTTTGGACCCCTCCTCTTGAAAGCTCTCGTACCAAAATGTTTGCCTACAAACATTTCATCCTGACCTAATTTAATTTTAATTACTTTTACAGCGTGCAGAAGTGTGGTAATTGGCACTAGTTGAAACAAGAATGGAAACAGAAGAAAATAATGACTTTTTAAAAAGGGGATTCCAGAGCCTCCTTTCAAAAGGAAAATCACCATTAACTGCAGATAATAAGATAATAAAATTAGTTTTTACTGGACCAATATCTTTTAATTGCAATTTTTTCAACAGCTCAGTGGTTTGCTGGTAGTTTGGTTTCTTTTTTTAAAAAAACTGTATATCTTGAATTCTCTTCCCCCACCCCAAATATCAAAGTGGCTTACAACACCAAAATATGCAAACATAAATTGCATTAAACATCCATCAGAACATACCAATATTATTAAAACAAAAAATGAAAATCACCAAAAACAGTAAATTGTTTACCCCACACCCAAATTATGAACTCTGACAATCAAGGCAGGCCTAGTCCCTCATCTCTCTGGAGCGGGGGGGGGTGCTGCAAGGGAAGGGAGAATGGGCAATCATGATCTCTCCCTCTCTGCCACCAATGGATTTTCTACAATAGCGCAGAGTTGAAAAACCATGTTGTAACAGTATAGGAAGAGGTCTGTTAGATCTAGTCCAGGACATTGTTCTTGCAGTGGCTAACCCAATGCCTATGGGAAGCCACGGCAGCATAATGTCAAGGTGTTTCCCTGGCAGAAGTGCATCCACTACAGTCATCTGGAGGTTCTGCTTGAGAATTTGCAGAGCTGTCAGGCTTGTGGGTCCTGGGACATTTGAGGTGACTTAGCATAAGGCAGCTCTTTATCCTCGATCTGTACTGCTTTAAATGAAAGCAGAAAAGGCACTCCTGGGCTGCCTTTGTAAGCATGATTCTCTGGGATTTTGTATATAGCCTGATCAGAGCACTGCACTTTGATGGTTCACAGATTCCTTTTGCAGGCAAACGGCACAGTACGATTTTGTCTGTTTTCCTCTATGCGCTCATTGTGGTGCTTCCAGAGGGGGCTTTCAGGGTTCATGATCTTTTGATACTTGGCTGTTATGCTGACAATTGCATCAGTGTAAAGAGTGTTGTAAAAGAAGAGTGAGCAGCTGTTAATTGCACAAAGTTTGCAGCTCTGTGGTGCATCTGCCTAACACATGAGAGAGGTTTTTCTGGGACTTTGCAAATTACCCAGATGTGTATCTTTTCGAATCACAGTTTCTGCAGTGCTAACTATTTCCCTTTTCTCCTCTCTCTCTCAGGAGATGTGAGCGTATCAACTGCTTTAACTATATGGACTGCCAAAACACTCCTTTGCGAATTACTTACTATCAGCTTAACTTCCAAACTAACATTGTCATCCCTGCGCATATTTTCCGAATTGGTCCCTCGCCTGCTTATGCTGGAGACAACATAATCCTCACAATCAACAAAGGAAATGAAGAGAACTACTTCAGCACCAGGAAGCTTAATTCGTACACAGGCATTGTCTACCTTCAGCGGCAAGTGAAGGAACCCAAAGACTTTCTGTTAGATGTTGAAATGAAGCTTTGGCGTCAAGGAACCTACACGACCTTCCTGGCTAAAATTTACATCTTTATCTCTTCTCATGCCTACTGAGGCATATGTACTCTCATGGGAGTTTATTGGTGCTATCGCCTTTGTGTTTTCTACCAAAGCTTATTATGATGCCTAGTTATAGATTTTTTAAATAATAATCATTTCCCCCCTTATTATTTTTCGAAAAACATCTTTGTTTTTTTGTAAAATTAACTTAAAACGCACAACCCGTTTCTCTTATAACTCTGGATTTTTAACTGAGCAGAAGAAGGCATTGTGGTTTAAAGCAAATATATATGTACAGTATTTACGTGATGCTCTAAAATCTTCTATTGGTATTGCGCCAGTGACAACTTCAGAATGAGTTGCTGGGGGGGAAGACAATCTATCCAAACTTAAGCACTTAAAGGTCCTGTTGATTTCCCAGAGAAGTAATCATGCGGCCACTGAAATTAGTTTGACTTTGTGCTTAAGTACAGTTGGATTGGGCTGGTTGGCAGGCAGGACATCAGTCCCTGCCCATGGCAATGTCTGATGGAAGTGATCTCTTTACACCTGCGGAGCTTCTTCCGGTGCAGCTTTTAAAAAGACCCGAAGCCCTTAAAGTCTCTTTAATGTATTTACACTTATTTACATGTAATATACAAAGAGAGTTCACTATGCTTGGACTGTGTAGCAAAAAAATGCTGCGTTCTGACATGCCAGCAAATCAGATGGGGACATGTTAGTCTCGCACCTCCTCATGCAATTGCCTGCTCAGTAACTTTAGCTGCCTCCTTCTCTTCCTCCAGGCAGGAGGAAGACAAAAGGTTAATATGAGAACTAATGCACAGCACAGCAAGCTCTCCTTATAGAGTTACATGCATTTTCAGCTTTGGAGGACAAGAGGTGGAAATCCAAAGGGTTGGATGAAATCCAGCCTCCTTAGGCACTTGGGTCTTGTCCAGTGTCCAGGAAGCTTGAACATTTTTTGGGTGGGAGGGGGGAGCGGGTCAAATCCAATGTTCATCATACTCAGAATAACCCACTGAAATCAATGAACTTAACCCTAAGTCCATGGATTTCATTGGATGTGCACTGAGTGTGACAACCAGCAAAATTGTAACCATGTCTACTCAGAAATAAATCCTATTGAATTAAATGAGAATTGCTCCCAGGCAATGCTTTCATGCATTCTCTTATGGTGCCATGGAATTACACCTTCTGGTATATCAGAGATACTGCACCAGTAGTGCCAGATCAGTGCCACACTTTACATGGGAATTGCAATTGCTGAGGGCAAACCACCCACCCATCATGGGAAATACATATAGCCAGTGTCAGCACACTGTACTATCAGGCAAACGCTGCAGGCCTGTTGCTTCTGATCTCTGCCTCTTCATTGGGCTGGGTATGAATTTTTCTTCTCCTTGGTCCCGCATGCCATACAGCCACAGCAAATCAGCAAGGGATACAGCCTTTCAATCCACAGGTGAGCAGCATGTGGCCACCTCCTATATAGATAGGCCCATCCTCTTTCTCTCTGCAGTGGATAAAAGATTAGTGTTGCTGCACTGCTATTTACAGCATGGGGAAATTAAAGCCCGCTGAAACCTGGAGCCAGTGTTTACATGTCTGAGGACTCAAATTGTACATCCTGTGACCATGCAGCAATCACGTTTGCTATGTGGGGCAGTTTTTAAATGTGCAAGCTGTGGTGCTAGAGTAGGAGTGGGGAACCTCTGGCCTCCCAGATGTTCCTGGGCTGCAGCTCCCATTAGCCCTAGCAAGCATTGTCAATGGCCAGAGATCATGGGAGCTGTAATTCATCTGGAGGGCCAAGGATTCCACACTTCTATATTAGGTAACATTCAGGCTGACATCATATACACAATTGCCTGGGATCAATGGGATTTACTTCTTATTAGACATGCATAGTGCTGTCAGTCACTTACTATTAGATGTCTTTTCTTTTTTGTCCTCATAATTTATGTTTACGTATCTGCAAACACAGGTCCCTTAACAAAAGAACACAATTTGGGTGGCAGTTAATCCATGCTTACACTTAAACAAAGCCGAATAATTTTCAGATCCCGTGGAAGAGAGAGATGTGTTGTGCTTTCTTGCTGAAATTGACATTGCAGTTTGCATTACTTGCCTGGTTTTGTATTTAAATTCAGTACTGAAGGTGCCCATTCTTTTTGGGGTGCATACAAGATGTATTATATTTTTTAAGGACATGCCAAAGATGAAGCATGACAGACCAAAGATGCAAAACCGTTGTTAACACCTTATTGAATGTCATGGCTATCCAATTAGAATGTTAAGATAAAACTTGAAATAGATCAGATTTATTTTCTGCTTTTCTGGCCTAAATGACATGGCAGAAGTAGGAATCTAGTTAATTTGGCAGCTTGAATAAACCATATACTATACTAATAGGACAATGCAAGGTTTAAATTCTTTTCAAGTTCTCTTATTTTATAGAAAACTGGATAAGGCCCAAATCAAGCAGCCATGTGTACTGATGAGTAGTTTAATCAAAATAATTTTTAAAAGTTTTTTTGCAAGTGAATAGCAGAATTTTAAAATAAATATGGTGTGGTGTTGTTGTTTTTTTTAAAAAAAAGATAGAGCAGTCTAGTACAAATCTTTTACTTAATTTTTTTAGCACAGCTATACATAAATAACATATGAAATGTTGTTGATCAAAACCATAACTGCAACATATAGATTTTTTTGTGATATGGTTTAATCCTTTCCTTATATTGTAGTGGATCTTATTTTGTATATAAAACAAGGAAGAAGCCAAGCCTTAGGGCCTTTTTATACAGTAGTATAAAAAGTATTATAAAATGCTGCAGTATTATGACATGTAAAATACTAATTTGTACTGTGGATTAAACATGTAAATGCTTTTTATGTTTAACGGGAGCGAGGGGAGAGGGGAAAGATGTGCTGTCATCAGATTCATTGAATGTTGTTTTCCCTGCTATTTCTGTTGAGACTTCAGTCCATAGTAAAGCATAAGTATGGTTTTAGCTAATGTTATACATAGTTGTGCTTCTATAAATTCTTTTCTTGGTCCCTTAGTGCATATTTGCTTCCATTCTAATAAATAGACTCTTAGAGCTGAAAGTGAAATTGCTAGGTACTAACCTGGAGACTTTTGCTGTCACTCCAAATAGCTTATTGGCAGAAAATGCAGCAGGAATGTCTCCCACCACAATTCTCTGGTCATTTCTTCATCCATCTGTCTCAGTGAACCTGTTGGTTCCTGAAACTAGATTTTTCCTTCACAGAGCAATGGGAAAGGGATCACTGGACACATGGGGAAGGAGAGAGCGTCGAGGAACTCTAATTACTAGGAACTAGGAAACCTTACTTAGAAGGGTATAGGAACATAGGAAGCTGGCATTATCCTGAGCCAGATCATTGATCCGTCTAGTTCAGTATTGTCCACCCTGACAGGCAGAGTGTCTCCCAGCCCTACTTAGAGATGCCAGGAGTTGAACCTGAAAGCCTTCTGCATGTAAAACAGATGTTCTACCACTGAATTACAGCCCTTCCCCCAGAAAGGCATCTCACTACACCACTCAAAGGCTATCCATATACAGTGGAACCTCGGTTTTCAAATGCCTCCGTTGACAAACGTTTCGCCTTTCGAATGCCAAAAACCCGGAAGTAGCTGCTCTGGTTTCTGAACGATTTTCGGAAGCCAAACATGCCACATGGCTTCTGTTTCGAGTTTCCCTATGATATTGAAGCTTCCACTTTCGGTTTCAGAAGTCAAACGGTCTTCTGGAACAGATTACGTTCAAAAACCAAGATTCTACTGTATCATATATCATAGCAGAGTTGCAGAAGATCATGTGATACAAGCAGATTAACTACAGAAAATGTGTCATGGGTATAAACAGCCTCAGACCTAACAACTACACATTTCCTACTGCACAGCATCTTGAGAAATGAGCAATAAAAGAGCAGGTGGAAATAGGTTTACTAGAGAAGTTCTCAAATTCCACCAGAGATGGCAGGGTAGGGCTGTAGCTTCAACTGCGGAGGAATCACATTGGAACAGACTGGAAGCCTATTTGATTCAGTTATGGTCCCAGAGTCCAGTAAATTAAAAGCCAAAAGTGTCCCAAACTATGACATGAATTCCATAAGTAATGTGGAATGGTCTGCCCATCTCCAAGGCATATGCAGTACAATTAAGCACATCTTTCTGCAGGGAAGAGGAGCAGGGCAGTATGCAGTTATGAGACCTGATAGCTTTTTTAAAAGCTCTGTGCAATAAACACATGATGGAGCGGTGGAGTTCTCCTTGCCCCGGCAGGGCACATCAAGAAACCATGAAACCCAGCATTTTCAATCAACATTAGCATTTGATTGAGTATAAATGCCATTCAAGCTCCACTGGTCTGTCCTGTCAGAGAAATAATGGACAAGCAATTTGTAATGTAGAGACCTTCCGCTGACTAGAAGCAACCGCAGTCAATCATTTTGTTAAGTCACTGGCAGGCAGTTTCCAATGACGACTCTTCATTTTCTAACAGAGGTAATTGATAAAGTCCAGTGTGAGAGTGGGGTCCCAAACAGACTCTTCTGCAAAGACTTTCTTTGGCATACCCACTCTCCTTTTCCCAACACTGAAAGCACCATTTTAGCTTTTGTGGAAATGCTAGAGCATTTTCTCCTCTAATTGAACAGAAATCTCTGCAGACATGGCTACTGTTGTCAGCTGAAGCGAGTCCCAAGATTACAATGTAACCTTGATATCCCAGTGGGCAGATCAGAATGTTATGGCTTTCATGTTATTTTACAGCTAAAATTTCAATGTCAACATTGGTTTAACAAAGGCCTCAAGCGTCTTTACTCTAGCCACCTTAACAATGCAATCCTATACATGTATACTGAAGTAAATTCTATAGGTCTGACATCCAAGAAACTGTATGTAGGATTGCAAACTGAGGATCTTGCTCATTTTAGGAGCCTTTATTTTATGCTGTAACCAAATGGGTTTAATTGATTAACTGAATGAATGAATGAATGGTTATCAGCAGCTGACAGCCATTTTATAGTTAGACAGTTCCTCTGACTGTGGTGTGTGATGTATCCTTGAAGTCAGTATAATGTAATTTATGCCAATTTCAAAGCTCTTTCATAGAGCCACATGAGAGTCTAAATGTGAATTTGACTCACTAGTCTTGCTAGATACTCAAAAGCTTTAAGGAAGTTTGAAACTGGCTTTAGCTTTACCTTAAAATAATCCCAGATTAAGTTGCTTTGAAGAAAGCTACTGCCAAAGTGATAAATGGGCGATGGTTGCACTCCATCAATGATGAAAGCTTTTAATAAATTTGGACAATCTAAGAAAATGTTTAAGGCTCACTTCCCTATCAGTCTTCTCAGAACTATTGAGATGCTCAAAAGAATGTGAGGGAGCTTAAACTGAGGATGCTGAAGAAGCTGTCCTCACCTCCAATATCCACATGCAGCAGGTATGAGGTGTTAGGAGATGGGTAGTCCCTCTGGTGGGGACATATCATACTCCTTCTGGGGTAGTTTGCTCACTTTTGGTCCCCACCCTGCACTCAGCTCTCACCTGTGACTCCTAGAAGTTGCTAGCATGCGTCAGCAGCCACACTCTGGAAGCAGCTTTGACTGGCTAAACCAGGTGAGCCTAGCAGATGAGTCTCTATGTGTACAAGTTGGCTTTTTGATGAAAGCAGCTTCAAAGCTAAGGAAATGATATTTTATTCGCATTATATTAGTGCCGTTGCAACAGAGGGAGAGAAGAGAAGCTAAGGAAAGCAGGCCCACTCTACCAGCTCTGCTGAAATACCAGCTCCTTGTAGCTCCTCTTTTCCCTGAACTGCTTCCACCCCAGCTGGTTATTATGAAAACCCTGTGACTGGAATAAAGGGTGCCTGAGTTTTCTTCCCTCCCCCCTCTGCAGCCCCCCTCCTCTAATTCTTTTTGTTTCATTTCCTCACATTTTTATTGATCTCATTTAAGATGCTTTGGGAGTCTGGACAGAAAAAATAAATAAATGTTAGCTTTAACCTAGCTTTTAAAATTAATATAGTTAACCTAGTTTAACATAGTTTTAAATACAGAACAATTGCTGCAACACCAAATAAATTAGAAGAATATCTTGCAAACTTTTTACCTTCAGAAAAGAAAATTCTCCACATAGACATATTTACCAAGTAAGCCCTCAGCATATATCACAAGACCCCTTGTTGTTGCAAAAGATTCTGGGAAATAGTCTCAGTTATGCACATAGTTCACCTTGGGCTTTTTGAGCAATCCTAGTTATTTTGGCTGCTTCGAGTCTTGTTGCTTGTTGTTGCTTCTTGATTTACATAAAAGGTAAAGGTAAAGGACCCCTGGACGGTTAAGTCCAGTTAAAGGTGACTATAGGGTATGGCACTCATCTTGTTTTCAGGCCTAGGGAGCTGGCGTTTGTCCACAGACAGCTTTCCGGGTCATGTGACCAGGATGACTAAACTGCTTCTGGCACAACGGGACACCATGACGGAAGCCAGAGCACACAGAAACGTTGTTTAGCTTCCTGCCACAGCGGTACCTATTTATGTACTTGCATGGGCGTGCTTTCGAACTTCTAGGTTGGCAGGAGCGGGGACAGAAGAACGGGAACTCACCCCATTGTGGAGATTCGAACTGCCGACCTTCCAATCGGCAAGCCCAAGTTTCCTGCTTGGCAGGGGGTTGGACTCGATGGCCCTTGTGGTCTATTCCAACTCTATTATTCTATGATTCTAAGAGGCTCAGTGGTTTAGACCACAGCGCCACCCATGTCTTTATGTAGTAATTGGTAATTTCAGAGTCAAGCATTCTCTTCAGTTATGGGCTGGAGTTAAGACTCCACCCTTTAGCTTGTTCTTGTGCGTACTCTCAATTTCTTATGCAGCTGTGTGCTAGCCTGTTCATCAACAAACAATCTGTTGCTCTGCAGCAACTTTGTTTAATGTTAAATAAGTAAGAACTTTACAGCAGCAACAAGTAAATTAATATCATATTATCCTATGGTATGTGCCACATGATTTATGTGCTTTATGTGTTTTTTATCTTATACTGGTTTGTTGTAATTGAGAGAATGAGTATGTGTATCCACTACTCCTACCATTGCCCTATTGCCTGTTTAGCATGCTCTATGTATGTATGTAGGTGCTTTTACCTTACCTTATGGCCGTAGTAAAGATTCTTCTTCTCCTAAGGGAAAATCGAGGGATTTAATTCAGAAACAGCGGAATGGCAGCAATATGTGGAAAGACACTATTTTCATGCTAATGAAATCACTGAGGGTGAGAAACAAAAGGCAACAATGCTGATGGTTTCTGGCAGTGAAGATTACTCTCTTTTTAGAACCTTAGTGCAACCACAAAAGCCAGGGGACAAAAGTTTAGCAACCACAAAAGCCAAGGGACAAAAGTTTAGCAGAGTTGCACAAGATCTTGTCTGACCACTATATTCCAAGGCCAAGCATAACAGTGGAATGCTTCAAATGCCATTTTAGGAGGAGGAAGGAAGGTGAATGTATACTGCTGGTTGCAAAAGGCTTGCCGAACGCTGTTCTTTTGCAAATGTTCTGGAGTGTGAAGTTGGTGATATTAAAATTCAAAATCAATGACTGACCTGGGACAAAGCTTTATAGGGGGTGACAGCCATGGAAGCAGCAGTGAGAAATCTACAGGATATGGAACTTAACAATAAGGACAAAATACAGACAAAATGAGTCAATAAATCCAAGCGCACAGCCCACAGGAGAAGCCTAGAGATCTAGAGATGCGTTGTCATTGTAGAGGAATGCATTCATCCTGTATAATCACAGAATGTCTTGGTGCCACAAATGCAGAAAAATTGGGCATTTAGCAAGAAATTGCAAGAGGAGCTATTTAGCGGGACAACCAAGCCAGGCCAAGGAATGGGCAAGAAAATAAGGGGAGAGAAGGCAGATCAGGGGGTTCACAATGTGCAGCTGAGGGGGTGGAGAGAGAAAGTGGAGCCTACAATTCCACAATCATCTAGTAGGCATGGAATTAGATACAGGAGATTCT